GGAGAGATTATGGGAAGCCTATGAAAACTTGACAGCAGCATAGCTGTGGCCAATGACCTACAGGCTGAGTTTGGCATGGCCCCAGCAGCATAGCAGCTTTTTCTAAATTTTTACATTCAGAGAAGTAGGAACACAGATTTCTGTTGTCATGCCCCTCCCAAAGAACTGTTGCTCCACCTCCTTGTTTACCACTGGATATAAAAGACTTGCTGAAGGAGGACAAGAGGTTCTTTGATGGAAGGGTTTTTTGATGAAAGGGCTTTTGATGGGGGTGGATTGATTGGTGGGCTGCTTGTGAGAATGACGCTGTTGAGTTATGCTACCGATTAAAGGGAACGTGGGACAGTGCAAGTCTGAGCACAGAGACTTTAAGAAAACTAAAGAGAGAACATGGGACAGTGCGTGACTAAGGAAAGAGACTTTAAAGAATAGAAAAAAGACATTAGAAGCAAAGTTTTAAAGAATAGTAAAGAAACAAGGCCTTACTTAAAGAATAAGAGAAAAGAAGCAAAGTGAAAGAAGAGAATAATAGAGCAAAAAAAGCAACGAGGATGTGGTGCATCTCCATCTGAGCGCACAGCACACCTGGTCCCAGCTCTATGCATGTTTGTGTATCATTTGTCCTTTCTCCATCTCCCGTGGCCCCCCGTTAGCCCAGTTAGGTCAGGAGAACAAGGGAGTGAGAGAGGAGGGGTGGTGGAGTGTGAACTGCCAGCCTGGTACTAATCTTTGTGGGAGAATCACGATTCCAGGTCAGCCTAGGCAAAAGCACAAGACCGCATCTCAAAAATGAACCAAAAATCAAAGGGCTGAGTGCATGGGTGTGACTCAACTGGTAGAATGCTTGCCTAGCAAGCACGAGGTCCTGAGTTCATCCTAGTATCACCAAAAAAAAAGGTTTGAATTCATTTATTACTCTATTATCTACTTCTTTCATAATGACTTTGCTCTTATTTTCTTCCTTAATTTATCTTTACTCTTTCCGGTTTATTGAAAGCATTTAGGGACAGGGACATTTCCCTGAGACGCTTCTCTACCTGTTTCCACAGGTGCATTTATGAGGTACTTTTGTGGTCAGTGTTCTCAAAGACTTTTTGAGATGATAGAGTTTTATGTTCCAGTATTCTGGTTTTGATACTAATATTGAATCATACTGAATTATAAAGTTATTGCACTGCTTATAATTTTTGAAAATGTTTGAACTTGTCTTTGAAGTTTTGAGTATAGTTACTGTGATTTTAACATAAACCTTTATAAACAATGTGTTAGTCACTCAGAGTATAAATTGTTGACTTTAAATGAGTGTTACCAATTTGAACATACAAAATAAATTTAAATTTACAAAAGTATATTTGGGAGAAGTGTGCAGGTGTGTGTGTGTCTTTACTTTGGGTAACAATATAAGGTATATTTTATTTTTTTAAGACTGTAACATTACAATTTTTTTTAAATTTTTGAATTAGCATACAGAATATCTTGAACAAATTCACCCCCTGCATTATATTTCCTTCTCCCATTTCCAAGATTATATTATTTATTTATTTATTTTTGTGGACTGGGGTTTGCACTCAGGGCCTATACCTTGAGCCACTCCACCAGCCCTGTTTTTTGTATTAGGTTTATTTTCAAGATAGGGTCTCTCAAATTGCAATCCTCCCGATCTCTGCCTCCTGGGTAGCTAGGATTACAGGCGTGAGCCACTGACACCTGGCTAAAATTATATTTTAAAAATGAGATTTAGTGCTAAAAACAAAGCACCTAGACTGTCTGCTGTCAAAGGTCACCTAGAATGTGTAGAATGTGCCTATCAACTTCTGTGGGTCCTAGAGTCGAGTGACCCTGAGTTGAGTTGAGATGAAGGGTACCTATGGTACTTTTTCCTCTCATTTTTTATTTCTTTTATTTTTCCCCTTTGATATGCTAATAAAAACCTAAATTGTGTAGAGCCAGGCTAGTGCCATCACAGACTGTTTTCGACATGTGAGAGTACATTTAACAGTTTTTAATTGGTCTTAGAAAAGTTAAAGGTGAAATGAAAATTTAATTCTCTTGGGCCTTTGTTCACAATGTATTTTTTCCATCTTTAATGTAAGGGATGAATTTTAATTAGCTTCATTCTCACTGTTTGGCCATGCATTTGTAATCTGTGTTCACTAGTTGGGTGAGAAAATTTTTGATGAAAAGAACTTGACAGTAATGGAAATCTTGCCTGAGCTGAACAAGTCAAGGTTATCAAATATACTTCAGGAAGACTGGCATGCTGCAGCTGGGGGATGAAAAGCATCTGGACCGGTGACAGAAAAAACTGTCTTTACCCCACTTGCTACTGCTCCACCTGTATACTCTTCTCCTGCACAGGGAGAGAGCACCATAGTGTGGAAAGTGTCTTGGTGCCAGATGGACTTGGCTTTGAATCCTGCCTCTAGACCTTTCTGGCAAGTCATTTAATTCCTCACTACTTCATTTCCTCATCTGTAAAATGGGGGCAATCATATCCATCTTGCAGGATTGTGAGGATTGTGAGGATAGACAAAAATGAATTACATCACCGTCCATGGTGTATAGGGGTTCAGAGAGAATTTCAAGGAAGTCATTTGTGGCTGAGCTGATGGATTCTTGGGAGATTCTTAGCTTAGTTACAGCTTTGAGAATAAAAAATTGGTACAGGTTGCATAAGTGTGTGTGTGTGTGTGTGTGTGTGTGTGTGTGTGTGTGTGTGTGTGATGGAGAAATCTGTGGGTTTGAACTCAGGTTCTTGTACTTGCTAGGCTTAAGCCACAATCCCAGCCCTTTCTACTTTAGTTTGTTTTTAGATAGGATCTTGGCTCTCACAATCCTTCTACTTCTGCCTCCTGCATAGCTGAGATTGCAGGCATGTCTTGGCACACCTGGCCATACCATACTCTTTAAAAAAACCTCCTGTATATTTAAGGTGTTCAAAATAGTGTTTGATACACATGTACATAGTAAAATGATAATTAGAGTCAAGCAAATTCAATCTGTCACCGTCCAGAGTGACTTCTTTGTGTGTTACACCTAAAATCTACTATCAACAAAATTTAAATGTACATTAAATATTATTCACTGTTACCTTCCTGGTGTACATTAGATGTCTAGATTTATTTACCTTTTTTTCTTTTTGATGGGATTGGGGTTTGAACTTAGGATTTAGAGCTTGAAAAGCAGCCACTCTACGGCTTGAGCCACACTTCCAGTCCATTTTGCTCTGGTTATTTTGGAGATGGGGTTTCTAAAACTATTTGCCTAGATTGGCCTCAAATTGATACCCTCCTGATCTTGGCCTCCCATGTAAAAAAAGATTAAAGGTGTGAGTCAAGATTTGCCCAGCCAAGATTTATTCATCTTTATGGAACTGTAACTTTCCACCCTTTGACCTGTAGGTCTCCCCATTTCCTCTCCCTCCCCACCCCTGGAAACCACCGTCTTTTGCTCTTTCTTTTTGTTTGGCTCTTTTTTCTACCATTGCACATATAAATGAGATGTTGGCTCACTCACCTATCTTCCAGACACCTACCCTCCTCCCGGTCATTTGTTCCTTTGTCTTTAAAATGGTGACACCAGTGAGGAGACTGTGATAATTTAAGGGTGTTTTCAGCACTGAGCTTGTGCTAAAAGGGATCTACTTCTTCCATCAAGGCAATGGTTCTTGACTTCAGGCGATCCTCCTCCCCCCTGTTTTAACAATGTCTGGAGACGTTTTGGTCATTGCTGTTGGGTGCCCACCATAGATCAATCTCCCTTCCCCTCTCCACCGATTTTGGAATTAGGAAATGAAAAGGGGACAATAGGAGGGTTTCCTCAGTCCCTTGGGAGAGGGGAAACTGCCAAGATCCATTTTCTATGCAATGGCCACCCTGCGCAGACCTCCTGCCGTTCTGGATGTTTTGGGTACAGCTCCCTGTGGAGAAAGCGCTTCCCGAGCCTAGGATCCCGACGAATTGTGCCATCTTCATCCATATACATGTTCCCAATTAAAGACTTCCCGCCGCTGTGGAGAGCGGCCTGTGCCGCCAAGTGAAACTGAAAGGAGGCACCGCCAGTTCTTCCAGTCTCTTGGCGGGAAAGCGAGGCAGCGCCCTGCGCAGAACAGGAGGCTTCGGACTTTTATAGGGATCCTACTAGCCTGGCAGGGTCCTACTTCCCCACACAGCGGGGTCCGGCAGCACACATGCCAGTCATTTACTGCAAACGCCCGAGTGCCCAAAAGCAGGACACCAAGGGGTTAGGGCTCGCTGGCTCCTCCAGGGCAAGGCACCGCCAAACGGGCCATCCCCTGACCTTACTGGGCCCAGGGCAGCTGTAGGAGTGGGGGCGGGGCGGGCCGGGCCAGGGGACGTCTGTCCTTCTCCATGCCCTGGAGCGTGTTACAGCTGCCCAGGCGCCTCATCGCCTTGAGATGCTCGTTGGTGCAGACCCCAATGTCTGGGTTGGAGGTGGACTCGTTGATGGCTGGGGAGGTAGGGCCATTCGTCTGCTAGGGACAATACCTACGTGTTGAGTCAGACCCTGCCGCGGGCTAGGTCCCAGCCAGGCGGCGGAGCTGTAGCTGCTGTGGTTAATGATTGATCCGTGACTACCCGGCATCCTGCAGCTCTGGAGAGGGTGCTCCTGGAGGGCGGGCCGGGCTGCCGGTGCCAGGAAGCTGGACCCGGAGCCGAGGGCTGCCTGGCAAAGTGCGCGCCCAGCGCCAAGGGGGAGGGGCGGGAGCGCCCGGGCTGCGGGTCGCGCTCTGAGCTGGGCGGGGAGATCGGCACCTCCTTCCTCCGCCTTCTCCAGCCTCACTCTTAGACTCGATTCAAAATCCACCTCCTACCCCCCTCCCGGCGCCTCCGCCTTTCCTAGGCTGGACTGCTTCAGGAAGTCCCCGAAAGCGCTGGTATACTAAGTTACCTTTGCCAAGCGAACTCGAGTCAGAAAATGCCCTGAGCCCACTCCGGTGAGTTGCAGCTGAGAATTTTGGGCCTTGCTGGGAGGAGAAAGGGAAGTTGAGAAGTCTCAGAACTTGGTGGCGCCTGGCTCTCCTTGCCATGGCTTCGCCCAGTGGCTCCAGCAGCGAGTGCTCCAAGGTCATCGATCACAACCATGTCCCTGAGTTTGAAGTGGCCACCTGGATCAAAATCACCCTTATCTTGGTGTATGTGGTCATTTTCGTGGTGGGCATCCTGGGAAATAGCATCACCATTCGGGTTACCCAGGTGCTGCAGAAGAAGGGCTACTTGCAGAAGGAGGTGACGGATCACATGGTGAGTCTGGCCTGCTCGGACATCCTGGTCTTCCTCATCGGCATGCCCATGGAGTTCTACAGCATCATCTGGAACCCCCTGACTACACCCAGCTATGCCGTGTCCTGCAAGCTTCACACTTTCCTCTTCGAGGCCTGCAGCTATGCCACACTGCTGCATGTGCTGACGCTCAGCTTTGAGCGCTATGTCGCCATCTGTCACCCCTTCAGGTATAAGGCCGTGTCAGGACCTTGCCAGGTGAAACTGCTGATCGCCTTCGTCTGGGTTACTTCCGCCCTGGTGGCATTGCCGGTACTTTTTGCCATGGGTATTGAGTACCCCCTGGTGAACGTGCCCACTCACCGGGGTCTGTCTTGCAACCGTTCGCGCACCCGCCACCACGAGCATCCCGAGACCTCCAACATGTCCATCTGTACCAATCTCTCCAGCCGCTGGACCGTGTTCCAGTCCAGCATCTTCGGTGCTTTCGCTGTCTACCTCTTGGTCCTGGTGTCCGTGGCCTTCATGTGCTGGAACATGATGCAGGTGCTCATGAGGAGCAAGCAGGGCACCATGGCCAAGACTGGGCCACAGGTGCAGCTGAGAAAGTCGGAGAGTGAGGAGAGCCGGACCGCCAGGAGGCAGACCATCATCTTCTTGAGTGAGTCTGGGTGGAGGGGAACCGGGGAGCAGCCCCCCCCAACCCAACCAGCACCTAAACCACTTCCTGTGATCTTCTTCATAAAGTCTTGTCCTAGACGTGTAAACTTAAGTTCATTGGGGCTGAAGAGTCCTAGCAGAGTGAGGGTGTTGACACTGATCCAGGTCTCTGGGTGGCCCTTCTTTGGGGGATTTGGGGCGGGTTGTGATGAAAAGAACACTAGACTAGGACTCAGACGGTCTGGACTATCATCTCTGTGACCTTGGGCAAGTAACAAAATGTCTTGGGTAAAATGAGGCAATAATATGAGGGACAAATTAGATAATGCAGGAGAGGTGAAAGTCCCCTGGGACCAGTTCTGCAGAGAAAAAAGGAGCACTCTTACCTCACTCCACTTTTATCCTGGACAACCTTGCTCAGGTGATTAGATTTTGTTCCCAGTTTTTTCCTCCTTTGGAGAAGCCACGCTGTCCAGGACACACACTGTCACGTTATCACCCTATAGAGTGATCTCCTGCAGGTCTTAAGAAACTGAAGCTCCCAGATGGCACTTACCAGGATTGTGCTTGGGTTTCTGTGCTGGTGGGTCTGTTCCTTACCAGAGCAGACATGGCTGGACAGCCTCCAGACTTGGAGATTCCTGCAACTTGGCCTTCAGTCTCAGAAATCACCCAATCCCCATGCAGAGAGAACTGTTTGTTTCCCAAGTTTTGTTGTGATACAAGTATTTACAGTAAAGTCCTGGATTTCTCTGAATTTAACTGTGTTTCCAGGGAGACCAAAGCTTTCAGAAGAGGGACTTTGTTCTGCCCTCTGGGAGTCAGGGCTTTACCTGGGACACATGAAGTGTGTGTGAGCAAAGGGTTTTAAAAATACTTTTTACAGAAACAAAGCAAGAATAATAAAGGTAGCATGGTAGATGTCTGAGTGTGAGTCCAGAGGGTGTTGATGTAACACATGTTCCTTCCCTCTGCCCTTCTCCCATCCAGCGTGGTGTTCAGAGAAGTAGTAAATCACAGTGCTGTTTGTTTTGGTGTGGAAAACCTGAGTAACTGGTTCCAAGAGCAGGGATTGGTGGGGGTGGGGGTGGTATTGGAGGCACATGGGCCTTGGGTCAGCCCTGCTTCTGGCTTCCCAAAGGGTCCACAAGCAGTTCACTTATTCTTAATCCAAGTCTGTGCAAAATGAGAGGAAGGAGCTTGCTATTTTGGATACCTACTTTGTGTCAGGGGCTGTGGTGGGTAATTTATCTTTCCATTTTATGGGGGAAGAATTTAGTCTTAAGATCAGAATTTCAAATGCAGATCCAAGATTCTCAACCTGCTTTTCCGGGCAGGACAAAGAGTGTGTGGCCCTGACTTTCACAGGCGTGTGGTGCAGGGTAAATGAAATAAGGCAGGACTTTCACTGGGAAGGAGCTCCCAAGATTACCCTGCTGGTTTTGCTGCTTCTCAGGTCAGCCTCTATGGAATCTGGAGTAGGGAGTCATGGAGGTGACCTCATCTGGGGACATGGGAAGGGCACTGAACCCAACCCAGTCTTTGTCACCTACTGACTGTTGCCCAAAATATCCCAGGAAGAAATAGACATGGCATGGCTTAAAGTTTGAGCCTTTGTTGAAAGGCTAGTTTTCCTTTCTTCCATATCTCTTGAGGTGTATCTTATCTTAAACTCTTAGCCATTATTTATAGCCTTTAAAAAAATTGTTTTGAGTGCAGGGCATTGGCCTGAGTAAGGATTAGAGGAAATACAAGAATTAGAAAGTGGTCTTCAACTATCTCTCAGTCGAACTTTGGAATTATGGTTACCTTTGCTCTCTATTTGGACCAATCTCTGTGCTTTTTTTTTTTGCATTTCTCTGAGTAGATGTTTGTTCTTCCCCTCTAGTGGGTGTTCCAAGTTAAAGTCAGTCTGCATTGGGTAGCATAAAATCAGAATGCTATGGACTTTTATTTAGAGATGGATAGGACCTTGGAGATCATCACATCGGGTTAGTAATTGCCTGCAATGAGTTTGTGCTCATCCCTTCCTTCTAGCTCTTTCCCTCTTCCTTGTAACAACTATGTATTAATCACCCACTGTGCTCCCAGCACAAAGATTGTTGAATGGCAATCAGGTACTCAATGTGTGATAATGTCTTGGAGAAATTTACCACTTGTATTTAGCCCATTTCCTCTGCAGTAGGTTTTCAAAGCAGTATTTGCAAATGTCCCTCTCTCCCAATGAATTTCAAAGAGCTTTTAAAAATAGGAACCTCACTAATTAACTCAAGTTAGGAAATAAATTAATGGAGTGAAGAGAAAGAAATCATGGACTGCATCCATCAGATTAATACAATGCAATTTACTTTGTGGGTTTCATAAAATTTCTGCTTTGGGGCATTTTTAACCCACAACAAATGAACATATAAATTGTTTACAAATCGCTGAATTTAATATAGTGATTTAGTTGTCTTTTTAGAATTTCATTTAACAGATGGATCAAATTAAAATAAATATTTGCTCATCTCAAACATTTTGGATTTAATGTGAAATGTAAATGACGATATAGTACAAGATGTCTTTGGAGCTCTTGAAGCAATAAAAAAAAATTAAGGATTCTCCCCCTTCATTGTTAAAAATTATAACTTCTGCATAATGGAAATTAAATTCATACATCTACCTGAGATGAGGAAGCCCATGTAGAAAATCTTAATTTTCCTTTCTGCATCTTGCACTGTTGGGCCTCAGTTGAGTTGAGTACTGGACAGGTGAATAATGAAAACAAATTGGGAAATCTGGGAGAGAGAAAAATGAGGAGATGTCTACTCGGTCTCAAGCAATTTGCAGGAGAAATGATAATAAGGCAAAAGTGCACTCTTGGAAATGTTTCTTGTTTCTTGTCAACTCAGTGAGACATCAGTACTAGACTAGATCTTTTCCCTGGCAAGGTCACGGCTAATGTGGCCAGAGGAATACATGTCCAATGCCAGAGCAGAGGATGCAGTTCTGGATTCTACTTCTTTTGGAGAGAAGGTGGTGGATGTTCCTTTTTGTCCCTTGGACGATGAGGATGGACAAAATGAGCTGTCCTGTTGACCAAGTCTCTCCTAGACCTACCTTTCTGAGTTTTTCCTTGGAATGATTCCCAAATGTGTGAAGCATCCAGGTCCACGGACAGGTAGCTTGCCACCGAATATTGCTCACTCAAATTGGAACGACAGAGTGGTTTAAAAGAAATAAAATTTTGTATCTTCAAGAGCATGCAGTGTTTGGATTTGGCTACAGCTACTTCCTAATGATTTGTAGGGCAGTGATTGACTTCAAGTATAGTTTTGTAAAAAGGACTGACAACAGTAAAGTTACAAAATTAAAGGAACCTCATAGCAGACTCAGGACTCTACAATAATGAATGCTCTTTTCCATTCTGACTTGCCCTCCTGAATCTGAGGGAAAGAGGAGGAATTACATCTGGTGGCAGGAATTGCTCATCAACCTGGGTCACCCATGGGAGAGTATCTTGAATATAGCCATCATCCGTTTTGTGCATTTGGATGGAAAAGGAGTGAGAGTTGCTGGTGTCACTGACTGCTCTAAAAATAAGGTTGCCGTACATTTAGATTCGAGTGAGTGGGCCAGAGAGAAGTAGGGGGAGATGAGAATCACTTCCTTCCTTCTGGTTTTTAGAGTGCAGATTGATGGTGTGTGTGTGTGTGTGTGTGTGTGTGTGTGTGTGTGTGTGTGTGTGTAAGAGAGAGAACCAGCTGAGATGTTGACCTTTGTTCTCTTTATCTGTGGATCTGAAAAGAACTCTTAAGTTTAATTCTCTTTTTTTTTAGCCAAAGCATTTAGTCAACATGTTTATTGTAAAAACTGATATATTTGGATATTTATCTATTATTAGATTGATCAATATTTCCCAACCCCACACCCCTTGATTTGTTTCAGATTGTATATTTTTTCTTTTTACTGATTTGGAAATTAAGTATTCTGTTAAAAAAAAAAAAAGGAATGAAAAAAATGGCTCCAAAATTTCATATGAAAGGTTTGATTGGGACTTAAAGTGAAAATTATGAAAAGAAACTTATCTTGTATTTTATAAATATAGGTTATAATTACAACTCTATGTTACTTATAACAATTATTCTGAATTAATCAAGTATGGATTTTTGAGGCCACAGTTTTTCTTTTTATTGGAGGTACTGGGGATTGAACTCTGGATTTCCCACTTTCACAGTCCTTTTGCTTTCAATTTGTTTTTCAAAGTTAGTTTGCTCTCACTAACTTTGCCTAGGCTGCTTTGGACTGTGATTCTCCTACCTCCACCTCCTGAGCAGCTGGAACAAAGGCGTGCACTACTATGCCTGGTTGTTTTCTTGAGGTGAGATCTCACTCACTTTTGCTTAGGCTGGCTTTGAACCACTATCCTCTTGTCTCTACCTCCTAAGTAGCTGAGTAGCTGGGATGGCAGGTATGGGCCACCACATCCCACCCAAGGCAGTTTTTTGGACAGAGCTGTATGATAGCCTTTGTGCTTGATTTCTCTCAGCAAGATTATGAAAAGGCTTTCTCCAAAGGGCTTCCCTTAATTTTTGCTACTAAATCATCCTCAATGAAGCACCTATCCTGGCATTGTCCTTGTCATTTTCTATTCTCCTAGTATTAACTGGCCTAATTCAAATAGGCCCTCATTTGTCAGTGGTCTGGCATTCGATCAATGTGCTTTGTCAGCTACCTTTACATTGACACATGAAATTTTGCACTTAGTGTGCAGGCCATCACCAAAAACCATAATTAGCTTAAAAATTGATCCTTGTTTTCTAGTGCGTATCAAGGATTGCATGGAAGTTACCATCTTAAAGTACTTCTAAAGTGCCATAAAAATGTATTAGTAGTTGTTTTCCTGACTAGCTCAAATACCTGTGTTTCAATACCATTTTCATCATCAATTTTCCTAGCAAAGGCTTTTTCTGTCAACCCAATCTCTCAGGGAAATATTAGCAGAATTAGATCAGTGACTTT